GGAATTGAATATGGTTGCCATTTGAGGAATTGAATATAGCTTTTAGAAAGTGCACACACCAATTAAAATGTTTTATTCTAAAACGTTGCGCTCTTCTTTCATATATAGTAGTATTGATTAGGCCAAATCTCTTGGTACAAGATCAGCACAGGTGAACATTCCATTTTGAAAGCCAAGGATAAGAGTCTTGTTACAAGCAAACCTGAAGAGCAATTTGGAAGCTAAAACTTGTTACAATATTGCGCACATGGTTTGGCTTCCTATTGCCTCCTCTTCGCACAAAATTTCTGGTTGTTCCAACAATGGCAGACTTTGTAAGGGCTCAAAGAATTACTGCAATCTCGTCTTCCTCAGGGCTTCCTATGCCTAAGAAACTGCTAATACCAAGAGCACCGTGTGCTTTCCTACGTACACAGCCATCTAGTGCTCTTCCCGTCCAAGGTTTCGGTAGGACTCCCTCTTTATATATGCGATGCTATCAGAATAAACAAACTACTTTTTGTGTACTGTGAAGTAAAAATTTATCTAGCTAGATTTTTTGTAAGTGATTTACCAATTGTAAACTTTTTTAGGAATGAGGCTGTGTTTGGAGCCCTAGGTTCCCAACCCCTCTCTAGTATTCCGCGCGCATGCTTTTCAAACTGCTAAATGGTGTGTTTTTTTTAAAAAAAAAGTTTATAAACGAAAGTCGCTTAAAAAAGTTATATTGATCCTTTTTTAAAAAAAAATTAGCTAATACTTACTAGTAATTAATCATGTGCTAATGTACCACTCCGTTTTCTATACGCACTGTGCGTGTTGGTAACAGGCACTTCCGAACACAGCCAGTCTACCTTGGGGCCTGTAACCTGTTGACTACTGCCTGTCATCATGCACTGACTTTGTATCACCCTACAAATGAAAGTCTAGTTAGTATCCTCTATTCTTTTTATTATTATCATTTTCATATGATTTCTTCATCCCTCGAGCTTTCTGGCTGCATGAGACCCTGTTTAGATGGGACTAAAACTTTTAAGTCCCTATCATATCGAATGTTTGGACATAATTATAAATATTAAATGTAGACTATTAATAAAACCCATCCATAATGTTGGACTAATTCGCGAGACGAATCTATTGAGCCTAATTAATCCATGATTAGTCTATGTGATGCTACAGTAAACATTCTCTAATTATGGATTAGTTAGGCTTAAAAAATTTGTCTCGCGAATTAGCTTTCATTTATATAATTAGTTTTGTAAGTAGTCTATATTAAATACTCTAAAATAGTGTCTAAATATAGGGACTAAAGTTAAGTCCCTAGTCCAAACACCACCGGAGTGAATGAGCTCTGAGTTGCCAATGAACTTCACGAATATATATTACAACCAACAAAAGCAATAAAAACTAAAGAAAGAAAAAGATAGTTCCGAGAAGGGTTCATAGGATAAAGTGTTTCCTATGACAAGTGCTTACTTGAAACTGATTTCTTAGAAATGTAAACAGTAACTTTCCAAATATATTTAGGGATGCAAAGAAGCTAAATAAACATGGTTTTCTGTCCTACTGATAGGTTGTAGAGCCTCACTGCAAATCATGAGAGAACACTCTTTGTATTATTTCTGATATCTTCGATACCCATGCCAATGCTGGATTCGTCTACAGCGTAATAAACCACTTCCTATTTTCCTCTTTGTATCTAGCATCATGCGTTAACTGAACCTACGCTTATCTCCAACTCTTCCTCACGATGTGCATTACTATTCAATGGAAGATGTCCATATTACCCCCTAAATAAATAGTAAATACCCCATCCAAGTTGTACCGGGTACAACTCCCACCTCAGTTTATCTAAATAAACACGATGCAAATTAAGTAAATGTCAATCAGATGATCATCATCGTTTCATGCACGTTCTTTCAGCGAGCTTCATAGATAAGACAGTATGGAATTGAGATAGTACTATCCAACACAGTTATTTTGCCCTTAAAACAGAGGAATTTTCTGTCAATATCCCTAATCCCTTCCATCCCTACAGTATATGTGTGTGTCTCTCCCTCTATGTGAAACAAGCACACTAGTGAAGCCAAGTCTGATATACTACGTTTGAAGCTACAGTGGGAACATGCCTCCCTAGTCTATGGGTTTGTTTGGGGAGCTTAAGAGCAGGTACAATAGCAGGCTATAAGTCAGCTGCAAACATATTTTAAGGAGATAAATGAGGAGAGAGAAGAGCAGCGGGCTACAGATTTGTAGCCAGCTGTAGCACGGACTCCAAGACACAGTGTGTGTATGACAGGTGGGACCAGGTATTAATAGTGTAGTATGTAAGTATTGTATGAATGAGCTATTAGATTGGCTATAGATGAATTGGAGCTAGTAGTTGGCTATACTATTAAACTTGCTCTAAGATTAGAAGTAGCTGATTGGTAGCCAGCTTTGAGTCTAGAAAAGTTGGGTTTTCCAGCATCTGGCTTCTAGTTTATTTTTTGGATTCTACAACTACAGCTTCTCAAAATCTGGACTAAAAGCTGGACTGTTGGGGTGCTTCTAATTCTGAGAGAAGCTGCAGCAGCTAGAAACTCCCCCAAACAGACTCTATGTGTGTGCCTCCTCTCTGTGAAACTAGTGAAGCCAAACCCATGCCATGTTCTTTATTGCAACTCATAAAGATTTGTTCAGTGAAAAATGAAACCAGATGGTACCAAACGCCTCACACGGCACTTATAAAATCAATCTTTTGTTTAACTCCATGTACCCTCCAGAAATTCATCCTAATTGAAAAGTCAATTCTATAGTAAGTTAAATTTAATGGTTGGGCCCTTCTTAGCGCCACCTACTCCTACAGCAGAAGCACAAACGTCAAATTTAATGGTAGAGTGGCATGTTTGCAACTTTTGGATGAAACTAATGGCGTTATAGCCATTGGACAAAATTACATAGAAAATCCAAGTGCAATATGTGCAATTTCCCCTTCTCAGAGGAAGGAAGTGAAATGGATCAACATGGAAATGTCATAAACAATGCTACAGTGTCCATTTAGAGAGAAATGCATGGAGACATACGATCAATAAACATTTTCAGTTCCGTTGATGCCTTCCATGCATATGATTAATTATTGGAAAATTGTTGTGCTTGTTTCCATGGCAGAAACTACACTAAAGGCAAGCACACTGAGGACTTCGTTTGGTGCTGCACCCTCTTGGATCCTAACATTTACATGCAAAACACACATGTAAACTGTTTTTTGCACAGCCACTGATTTTCTGAAAGCATTAACAATATGCGTATAAAAGAAAAAGTTAACCAGAAAACAAATGGATCTTGGCTTTTGGGGCAGTTCTTCTAACGCGACAGTACTCTCAATTGACCCCTGAGACATGACTCTAAAGGAAAGCGGAAGGTTAGGAACTGATACCCAGAGAGCAACTCGAAAGCTAAAATCTCTAACAGTTTAGCTGCTCAAACTCCTAACAGTTCAGCTGATTGTTATTTCCTTGCTCCCAGCACACGGATAAACATCAATTGCTTCGAGTGCTTTGGCTCCCTTCTGCCTAATGCCTGCTCTTAATTAGCACACACAATCGCCACTCGCCACACAATGATCAGGGAGCCTGGTTCAGAATTGTTGCAATTTCATCTTCCTGAAGGCCTCCCATTTCTATGTAAGAGACTGTAATACTAGGACGGAACACCTTATGCTTTGTTAACACCTCTTCTATGTGGTACTCTCCATATCTCTAAGTATTTGGTAGTGCGGTCTATTTATGTGCGATATTATCAACATAGCACGTACCATTTAGAAATTTGAATATATAAAAACTGCTTTAACAAATGCACTCACTTCATAGTAAAACGTTTTACTCCCCAAAACTATTTTACCCGAGCACTTAATCCACTAAACTATTTTTCGGCTTATTTTACACCATAAACTATTAAAATAGTTCAACTTGCTTCCTAACAGAATTTCTCCCCTTTATATGTAAGTTGAATTTTATGCTAAAATTTTGCTAGGATGATATATGATTACAACTTAACGTCTCAAAATTTCTTAGAATTTTTTTACCATGCTTTGGATAAATATGGATAAAATTTCTTAGATGGCATCCAATGCTTTACTGTGGATTATATGGATAAATATATGTCAAACTTTATAGAAATGATGGATGAATTTGAGTTAAATATTACAAAAAATAATGTGAGAAATGATGATCTTGTATATTAAGTTTTAGATAGTAATAAATTGTAAATGTAATTACTATGTTTTCATGTTAAGTTTTAGATATTTAATGGGTTGGTATGGTATACTTGTATATTACTCCTTCCGTCCCAAAATATAAGTATTTTTAGCTATGAATCTGGATAACTGTGTGTCCAGATTCATAGCCAAAAGTTATTATATTTTAGGACAGAGATAGTAGGTTTTAATGGGTTGATAACTGCTTGCTATGGTTGCATAGTGAATTTTAGATGCTCAGTGCCGTGTAACTATATAAAAGTATAGATTTGTGATCGTCACTCACAACTGGTGGTTTCGGTTTAGTTTGGTTTTATACTCTTATAACAATTTGATACAATAAATTGGCTTCACCCTGTAAAGGCGCATCTTGCAAAATACCATTTGCTACCACGCACAACTCAAATAACAGCTTCACTGCTCGAGTGTTCGCCCTGAAACATCATCACCAAATCCCCCAGATGCCTATCAACAACAGCATGAAGAGCCCGGAGTGGCATCAGAACACCGCAAGAATCAACAGACGAATGGCTCAGTTCCAGTTTGCTGGGGAATTTCATCCGAGCATCTCACAATGCGATCACATGCAACCACATGGGTTGAATAGGACCCAAAGTTCCCTCGTGTGGCAATAGCTGAGGAATGCCCGGATGAGGTGTTGTGAGCTAAATTGTTGCGCTGAGCACACATCAAATACTTACTTGCTGGGCTCGATCAAATAGTGGCATCCCGGATTCTTGGGTAGAAGAGGACCTAGGTTTGCATACTCGGTAACGAGAGTTGCTGACGGTAGAGGCAACCGTTTATCTTAGGATTGAAGAACATTTCTACATCACGAGAAACGGTTCATCCTACAAGTCTACACATGAAGAGTTGAAGGCCATCTTCAAGTATATACATAAAAAATGGTAAAAACTTCATCCTTGCTACGGATTCACATCTTGAAGCGGAGCAATCATAAAAGTTTGTTCCAAGCACGAGAAAGATATCAACAAAATGAAATAAAACGAACTGGACCCTAGAATATGGTCTGAAGCTTGACCTCATGCGTCCTCAACCTGGGAGTTGAATACAAAACTTGGAAATGTTGTAGTTATATCCCTGTTGGAGAAAGTTATGATTAGAAAAAGGTTGCCATGTCAAGTATTACAGAAGCCGAAAAATCCGTATTTACATCAAATGGAATCAAACGGCCTCCACATAGAGAAGCAATACTATGTAAATGTCTAATTGTAAGGTTAAAACTAAGTGCATTCAATATGTTTTGTTGCATAGTTTCAAGTTAAAAGTCACTAAATACGCAGAAACCATGTGTACAGATATTCAGTAAATATCTCAGAGTCTAGCTAGCATAGTAACCTCAACATACATTCCATTGATCCCAAGTAGATGTTGAGGAAGAAAAGTTGACAAGTTATTTATTAGGAACAAAAAGAAACAGAATGCACAAACAGGTTAGCAACAGTGACCTAAGATACCAAAAAGAAACAGAATGCACAAACAGGTTAGCAACAGTGACCTGAGATATGGGAGTGTCATATTCTTTAATAAAGATGGATGCCTCAACACAAGGTTGCGCCACTCCTCCTTGTCAATTTTCCCATCATGCTTTGTATCTGCTTCCTCAAATGTCTAGTAACAAAGCAAATGTTTTTTTTCTCCATAAGCAACTGAGTATAAATACAACAGATATACGCACTGTACTGCAATGCAGGTTCTCATGCATACCTTGTCAATAATGCCTTCTATAATCTCATCTGAAAGGTTCATTCCTGATTCAGCAAGTGTGGCGACCACCATTTGCTTCACCTGATAATCAAGGACTAGAATAACTTTTCTTGACCAACAGCTGCTACATGAGTTGATGCTAAATCAAGTATGCCTTCTCAAACAAATAAACAATTAACCTTCCAGAGGGATGCAGTTTAGTTTGCCGTAATAGACATAAAAACTCTCACAATTCTTAAATACTCAAGCCAGTACAGTAAACGGCTTATCCTGGAACATGACTTGACAAGTTGAATTGTTGTGCTAAATTATTAGGTGGGAAATTATGCTAATATATGGGGTACTGAAAGCATGTGTCTAAAAAAATGCAACACTTGCTTCTCATGGAGTATAGTAAATAGCAAAACAAGAAAGAGTGGCTTATGAACAAGCAGAAGGAAGATACCTCTTGCTTCTCAATGAAACCTTGTTGTTTGAGATCATAAAGTTTGAAAGCAACTGCAAGTTATTGAAGCATAATATCAAAAGGATGATTAGTTAATTATTATAGTATAATGGAATATATTTGTAATATAAACGAGCTCCACTGAAAATCAATTAAATACATAAGTTACGTTAGAAATCAAGGAAAAACGGTTAACAGATAATAAAGTTCATACTCAACTAAATTTAACTGATAATAAATAAGCCACCATACATAAGTAGTTTGCATGGTCTTTAAAATAAGGAGGCTAGGCTTGGATTGATAATAAATGACACAGCCACAGATTTCTCTCCCATCCAAGGAACACTTCGAAAAACTGATAGTGTCTAGTTGCAATTACTAGGATCCCAATGGCAGACCAATTATTTTGTGATAATGTCTTATGCAATTGTCGCATAGTATTGCAGAAAACAATGAAAATTGGTATTCAATTGCCCATGTTGCAGTAAGTACATATACAAAATAAAATGAAGCATGATGTCTTACAATCAATTTTGTCATCAATTGGAGCATTGGGATGAAACACAGAAAGAGCCCGTGCAAATTCTTCGAATCCAAGAATCCCATTGTGCTTCGTGTCAAACAAATCAAATACCTAAATTGATTAAATTGAAAACAGCGCACTTTTGAGTTGACTTCAGATGATGGCATAAAGGAATGTGCATCTGCATGTTTAAAAAGTAACTAATAATTTATAATAGGGCCAATTGCATATTTGCCACTGATTTGAATCGGTATTGTGAATTTGCCATTATAAAAAACGTAATTGCATGCTTGCCATAAAAAACGATTGGAACCCATGATACTTGCCATTAGATTCACGGCTGGGAATAACACCGTTAAAAGATGGGTTCTCACAAAAAATAGGACAAGGATGCCCCTCCCTGCTGCTGCCGTCTCCGGGCGCCCGCCATTGTTGCTGCTCTTGCTGCAGCCCTACCACCTTGCTGGCTTGCTGCTGCTATCGTAGGGAGTTGTTGCAGCTGCTGCTCTCGCTGCAGGCCTGTAGTGAGCTGCTGCTGCCGCGTGCTCGTGCTGCAGCCGCGAGCGTTGCTGCTTCCGTTGCAACGTGCTGCTGCTGCTATCGCGGCGGCTGCCGTCGACTTCCTCGCACCTCCGGCAAGATTACCCAAAAAAGGTGAGATTTTCCCTACCCCCGTTGCCCGTCGTCGCAAGGACTCCAACCACCGCCGACATGCACGCCGGTCGCCGTCCGCTGTCCGCCTGGCCACATGTCCTCCTGTCGTCCGCCGACACGCCGCCCGTCAGCGCGCCCTCCCATCGATTGTCCATCCCCACGCCGCCCTCAAGCCCTCTACCTGTGCGTGGCCGGCAGCCCTCCCGCCATTCGCCCACATGCCTGCAAGTGAGAGGGCGGCGAGCCAGCGAGGATCTTTTCCGGTTAGGGGCAAGATGGTCTTGTCATGCTCCTTATCTTTTAAGTTAGTTTTATGAATTATTTTTGGCCTTTTGATTGTACCAATTCAGGTGGCGATGGCAAACGAAAGTAACGGGAACTAACTTTGGTGGCTAATTTGCAGTTTGGGTATTTATAATGGCTTTTCCGAGTTAGGGGTTGAAATCAGTGGCATATTTGCAATTATCCCTTTATAATAACAGAGGGGACTTGGTAAGAATTAACACCCGCTCTCCATGCTTGCGGGTGCATGATTCACACACATATATTCACACTCACATGCACAAATAGACATATGCAATCACATGAGCAGAGTTTTCAAATATCAACTTCTCGGTGCTTTAAATTATTCCATGTAACATTGACTACTCCACATTCATACAATGTGTACTACATCATACGTGCTTCATTAATCATGATGTGTAAAACTAGGAAAAACGATAAAGTGATTCAGTAGTGCAGAAAGGCTAGAACAGACCAAATACCATGAACAACATCATAAAAACTTCATTAAACAGAACTCAATTAGCTAGCCATACCCGATCAGCAAACATGCTGTCTTTTCTGTTGGTCTTAAACAGTGCCAGTTGGAATTCTTCCTGTCAAGACAGCCAATGCCATCAGCTGAGTTAACTAGTTCAGATGCCACGGAATTCTAATTTTGATCCATGGCCATCCAATTCACAGCAAAGGAAACTAGCAGAAATACTACTAACCTTATTGATCAAGCCATCATCAACCACAGCACTGCTAATCTTCTTGAACAGCTCATACAGCGCCTCTATTTCATTTACGTTAACTGCATAACCAAGCAGAATAAACTCATTGACGAATAAACGGAAACAGAACAAGAATACCATCTATTAAGAATATATACTGAAACTGATTCCGTACACATCGAATCATCAAAAAGAAGGGGAGTTGGAAAGAGGAATCTTACAAACTGTTTCCCTCGCCAACCGTTCAGGATCCTGCAGGCCGTTGGGACGATTGGAGCTGTCAAGGCTGCAGCACTTGAACAGCAACGCGGCGAGCCGTCGGAGCCCTTCCGAGGAATCCACCATTTGCAATTGCAAACTACAACCAGCAGCTCCCCAATCAACAAGCCTCACACCTGCAACGCCCAACAACAACAACAACAAGGAGATCACCCAATATACCGTAGGAATCCACCGCCCACACCAAGTCAGCAACCACCATCGCCCCCAATTCGGCAATTCCCCGCCGGAATCACGAAGACGTGAACCGAAATCCACATATCCCATCATCGATCACGCCGCTGCCCCAGGAACCGAAACTCCCGGATCCCACCCGCTGCACCCCCCAACCCAAACACGAAACGAATCCTCTCTCCCACGGCTACGCGGTGGTGGCCGCCCCATCCACGAACAGAATTCCCAGCGACGACGACGGCGACGACGAGGCCGGCGGGGGAGAAAGAGAGGGCTACGGGGAACGGGGGGATTCGGGGAGATCGGCGGGGGAGAGGAGTCACCTCATTGGGAGATCCGCCCGTCCTCCTCGCGCGGCGGCGGCGGCAGCGGCGACGGCGGCGGTGGCGGTGGAGTGGGGGAGGAGAGGATCAGAGGAGAGGCTCGTCGTGGGATGTTTCTAGAAGGCGATGAGGAGAGGATGTCGTTGTGTTCCCCCGGATTCTGGGGAGAGGGCCTTTGGTGTGAGTTGGGCTGGGCCGCTGCCCGCTGGAGGGCTTTGAAGTGGACCCATGGCCCATAACTTATCGTGGGGGCCCGATATTCTGTCTTATCTCGATGACCAGAGAGTTTGGGCCTGTTCGGCTATCTGTCTGCGGTGGCTGCGGCTGCGGCTGGGCCGTGTGTGTGCAGCAGCACGGTTGGTGCCGGGCCCTTTGTAGTGAGAGTAGAGTTTTTTCTACATCTCAAAAGATAATGGATTTTGGTTGGAGATATATTGTAGTACTACGAATTTTTGACTAGACATATAAACATACGTCTCGTTCAACCAAAATATCTTATAGTTGAAACAGAGGGAGTAAGACGATGGGTAGAGTGATTGAAAAGTGCCACTCCCGCTGTTTATATTATACAATGTTTTGGTTACAGGTATGTAGTTTGATACTAAATTTGTTATATTTCGAGATGAAAGACGTGCTCCCTCCGTCTTAAAAAAATCTAACCTAGGAGGGGATTTGATCCCTTCTAGTACAACGAATCTAGATAGAAGTTTGTCCAGATTCATTGTACTATGGGGGGTCACATCCCCTCGTAGGTTGGGTTTTTTTGGGAGCAGTATAGCTAGCGACTCTATGATAAGCACTAGAAAACTGTAAAATGAACTTGCCAAATTTACATATAGTTTCATCGTAGATAAACAACCTTAATTCTATCTTACTATAAAGTTAATGTTCACTAACTCCTAAAGCTCAATATGCAAGTGTTTCACATCAGCATCCACTAGCAATTATTATCTAGAGTATTTTAAATCACATGCAAGTGTCATATCATCACCCACTAGCAATTGTTATCTAGAGTATTTTAAATATCTTTCAAATATGACATATCACTTGCAATTTTATTGTATTTTTAGAACTCAATATGCAAACAATGTCAAATCATTATCTCCATGACATTTTCATATTTTTTAAACATATACATCTATCATTTTCTATAATGTATAACATACATTTATTAATATATCTCGCAGCAAAGCACGAGGTATCAATTAATGAATTGCACAAGATGATAACAGATCTTAATTGAAAACCAATGACCCTATTGGCTACTCATCAGTTAGTGCCTGTAGTCAAAATTAAAATTTTAAATATAATTTAAATTCGTCATTTTATTGTTTTCTATTTTTCAGCCTTAGGCCTCAGCTTTTAAAGCGCTAACATTATAAGTATAAAAAGTCATTCCTAAAGTTATGTATGTGGTTGCTTTGTTTATTTCTATATCAAATGTGGTGCTTGCAGATGCATACATGCGTCACTAATGTTGTTTGAATATTGCGGCCAGATATAAAAACAAAAGGATTTAAATGATAATGGTGGAATAAAATGAACGGTGTTGGGACAATGGTAAAAGCGACATGAAGCATTTCCTGATGACAAGGGCAGTAATAGAGCTTCGTGGGGCAAAAAAAAAATCGTTTCTCGTGTTTTCCTCTTTTTTAAATTCATTCAAACTTGACAAGCACTTGTAACGTCTTGGAGAGTTGTAGCATGCAATTACATAGAATTTTTTTTTTGGCAAAAGTCATCCATAAGAAATTAATTGTTTATCGCAAAGAAGAAAAGTTATGGAAAGGATGATCCTCAGGTGCTGCGTAAGAATCATTGGCCGTTTTTCTTCTGATGATGTGAAATGAGGAGAAAAAAGGTGCAGGAGAATTTTCAAGGAAGAGCCAGGATTGTGATTGATGGTATCACCGGCTCTTTTTTGTTTGGTGTCAATCGGAATCGGGTAGGCAACGGAAATGCTAATACTCGTTATTCATTCTGTAGATTTTGAATGATGCTCCCTCCGTTTTTCACTTGTATTTTAAACATTCATATCTTCATTGATCTTTTTAATCACATGGGCATTATTAAAAATGTAACTACATTTTGATTAATGTTTCCTATATATGATAAATCTACTAATATCAGTTTTTTTATTTGAAATATTATAATCCCATGTTAAGAATTTGAGATTTGACCGTAAATGTTCTAGCAAATAGCTAGTAATCCGTTAAAAAACAGAGGTGATAACGAATGGTTCAACTTCCAAAATAATATGAAAATTTTCAATGCTATCAAGAGACATACAACACGAAACAATGTAATCTACTCCCTCCGTTTCACAATATAAGTCATTCTAACATTTCCCACATTTATGTTGATGTTAATGAATCTAGACATATATATCTATCTAGATTCATTAATATCAATATGAATGTGGGAAATGTTATAATGACTTACATTGTGAAACGGAGGGAGTACATCATAAGGTTTAATATGTTCGTATCAATCAACTCTAAGTCATAGTATCGGTTATTTTTAAAACCCGTTTGGCTATTAGTCTTGGAAATATTCTCCCAACAACTAAACGTATTCCTCGACTCCTTCCCATTTTATGCCAATCACATTATCCTTGTAGCCTATAATTCCAAACCGAACAAGCCCAGATATATTGCACACATAAAGCATTATGGGCATGTTTGGATTAGTGCCAATTTGTGCCATACCAATATTTTTGGTAGCTTCAAAGAGTACTTTGATAGCATTTGAATTGTGACCAATTTTGTCTATCTAGTAATAAATCTACCCTATTAAATTTGGTAGTGCCAAAACTTACTACCAATATTTTAATAGGCCGCAAACTAAATCAGCCCTATACTATGAGGCAAACAACCCAAAGTGATTATAAATTTGCACCCATCTATTGGCACATCTAGGCTGTGTTTAGTTCCACGCTAAAATTGAATTTAAAGAAATTGGAACGATGTAATGGAAAAGTTGAAAATTTATATATATAGAAAAAATTCGATGTGATGAAAAAGTTAAAAATTTAAAGAAAAAAGTTGAAATCTAAACAGGGCCGTAACTGTCTCCTGTCTGTCGTATATACGTATGAGGTGGTAGTATCTCCGTATCTCCGTACCCGCACTGGCAGGGTGTCGCTGAGGTGGCCGCGCGGCTAGTGGGCTCCAACTGCAAAGACCCCGGGCCCACATGTCATCCACCGAGAAGGAAAACCCACCGGCAAACAGTTATCCGGGCCCACCGCCGCTGTAGCACACTGCTCGTTGATTCGACCAACGCGGCATTTCTTCCTTCCCCCTACGAAATTACCATCCTACCCTCTCCCACTCCCTCCTCCCTGAACCAAGCCCACGCGCCTCGCCGTCCGATCCACCTCGAGATCCGCGCCCTCCTGCGCTCAGCTCCTACACCGAGTCCACAGAGAAACCAGGTCCGCCCCCGCGCGGACTCTCCGTACACCCCTCCCCACCGCGCTGGCCCCCACTCCGACCGTCCGTTCCCGCCTCGTGATTCGTGCCGGCGACCACCCGCCTCCGTGGACCCGGTCCACGGGGAGATTACACCTTCACCCCCCTCACCTCACCTCACCTCACACCACGCGTCTCCCCCCACCAACTAGCTCTCTCTCTCTCTCTCTCTCTCGCGCCGCCGCTACGCTCGCCGCGCCGCCGCTACGCTCGCCGCGCCGCCGCTACGCTCGCCGCGCCGCCGCGGGTGGGGAGATTTGACCGGCGTTGACTCCGGGATGGACGGGCGGTTCCCGCTGCCGCCGGCGAGCGGAGGGGGGCGGGGGCACCACCGGCGGGCGCACTCGGAGACGTTCCTGCGGCTGCCCGACGCGGACCTCCTCCTCGACCCGGAGGGGGACTTCTCCTTCTCCGACCTCGACTTCCCCTCCCTCTCCGACGACTCCCCGGCCATCTCCGACCCGACCCCGCCGCCGCCGCCGCCGATGGCTGCGACCCCCGCGCCGGCGCCGCGGCCACCGGGTGGGGCGCACATGAGGAGCCTCTCCCTCGACACCGCCTTCTTCGAGGGTTTCTCGTTGCAGGGTGGGGGAGGAGGAGGAGGAGGAGGAGGGAGTGGGGGAAGTGGTGGGCATAAGAGGAGCGGGTCGATGGATGGGGTCAACTCGCCGTTCGAGGGTGAGTCGGCGCTCTCCGGTGGGCTACCGGACTACGCGAAGAAGGCCATGCCCGCGGAGAGGATCGCCGAGCTCGCGCTCATCGACCCCAAGCGCGCAAAGAGGTGAGGAAATCGCTTGCTGCTTCCTCTACTCCATTTTGAGTTCAGCAATTTCTAGATCCGCAGGGATGTGCCTTTTGCCCCAATCTTGTACAGTGATACTGCGATTTCCCATTTCGAAGAATATAGTTGGAGTCAGTAGTGGGATTGCTGCTGTTCTTGGTGTTTCCTTTCTTGATCTGGGCTATCTGTGCCTTGCTTGATTTGTGATGTAATTGGGGAGATGTATTGGGGCTTGTTGATTTAGGTTAAGCTTGTGATGGCGCTTGTGTGCAGAATTCTGGCGAACAGGCAGTCGGCTGCAAGGTCCAAGGAAAGGAAGATCAAGTACACTAGCGAGCTGGAGAGGAAGGTGCAGACACTGCAGACCGAGGCCACCACGCTGTCTGCACAGCTCACGCTTCTCCAGGTATGGAACTTTGTTTATTCCGAGCGCCAGATAAGCCTCCTATATTGTCTTATCTAATCAGCTTAGTTTGTTAGTCAATTGTTTTGTTTGACATGTATTAGTTGTGCAAAGTTAGAGTAGGTTACACGAAACTTTAATGTTTTGACTCAATGATTGTCATGCATGTGAAGAACTGCTGTAAGCAAAGCTACTGCTTGAACCTTTTTATGTTTTTAGAAGCATAATAGTATGTTGCTGTATCTTGTCCCTTTCCTTCTAGCTAAAGCGGCTTATTGATTGTTTCAAGCATGTGTGCTAAGTTGTGGATCTTACTTGGGGTGTCAAAACGAGCTATTTGTGTTACTATGATAATGTGTTGAAGAAAGTGTGCAGGAATAACACGTAATAATAGCATGTAGCTTTGCATTGCATAACATTCTATGAATTTCATTTTTTTTATACAATTCTGTTGTGGGCCAGCTTTATTTAAAACCAAATAACAGTTTATAAGTTAGTACACAATAAATAATTTGTCTGCATTGAATGCGGCAGTTCGTTTCCTTTTGGGTTAGCAACTTAGTGTCCTACAGTAAACTTCCAGTATCTGAGCTCAGAGCTGCAGAAAGTTTAGGAAGTGGAATTTTTAAAGCATGATAGTCACTAGAATGGAAATGTACAAATAAGAACTTTGTTAGTAGACCATTTATTCTACACATATTTTAGGACACTTCATAAGCTAAAGCATAACTTAGTTCTTTTTTATTTCAAACTGATGTTCCTTATGGCACCTTATGCATCTAGCACCTGAATTTATTAGATTGATAGTTGCCTAGATATATGTGGCTTTGTAAAAACTAGTGATAGCACTAGTATTCCATGGATGTCAAATGGACAGTGAGATGTATGGTAAATCATTTTTTTGTTAGTAATATCAAGATATTCTGAATTTTGTTATGGCACTTTGCATGGTGCACAATGTAGGACAAGCTGTAGTGTATGAACACAATGGAGAACATAATAATAGATTTGACAAGAGCACAACATTTTTTTTCCTTTATCATTACCTTGTTGCCTGTGTAATTGTTGTAGATGCGACAATAAGAGTAGGAATTGAAGCACCTAATGGTTTAAGAGGTATAAGTATGTTTGTAGCGTGAACGATCGATCACTCACCAAAAATTGGGCTAGTGATGAACCATTTTAGAGTGCAGTTTGATTGATGGAATCAGACGGGTCATGTTAGGATGGAGAAATAAGTGACCACAGATTGTAACATATGATGTCTCACTTTCAAGAAAACATGCTAGTGCTTATCATATAATTAGAACAAAGCAGTCATCCAGAAATCCCATGAATAAATGATATTCTAAAATGCGCCTACTTTTATCATGATCCTTCTGAAGTCAGCTTATTTTTTGTGACGATAACAGACATTTTTGCTTTATCTTTTTTGAGCAATGAAATAATGTCAGTGGCTTGTATGTTCTTTGGAATCTTATATTCCTTCAACCCTTTATGCAGTTCTGTTTGTTCATTGTATAATTTATTTGATGAGATTCAGAGAACTAGAGTGCCATCTAATTATTTATTTCCCTATGAATACATAGTTTTTTTTACTTAATGTTGTCAACTTTTACGTACAGAGGATATGGATGCTAACTTAATATTGCTCATTTTAGTACATAATTTGTTGCACGTAGCATTTGCGTAAATTTAGTCCGTAGATTGTCAAGCTTTGAATCATCCTATCGCACAACACCATTTTTTGCATGCTGCTGATAGTATCTGGTAGGCAAATTACTCGCCAATCCTGTAAGCCAACAGTTTCTTTTGTTCTGTTTGTGTATGTGATGTGTGCCATCTGGTAGTCTCGAATCTGATTTTTTGCAATTCACTTGAAACCCAGAGGGATACATCTGGTTTAACTGCCGAGAATAGAGAGCTCAAGCTACGGTTGCAGTCCATGGAAGAGCAAGCTAAACTACGTGATGGTATGCCCTTATCTTTTGTTACTTCATCATGTAGCCTTTAGTATGTTGTGCAATACTACTACATGGTTGCCTATGAAGATAAAGTTTCAAAGCCCAATAAAATGTTTGATTCTATTGGCATATATGTTGGTCTGTTGCTCTGTTAGTAAGACAAAAATTGGACGTGCTCTGTTTTTTCTTTGCCCATGAAGTATGTTATGGAAAAAATATCCTTCTCATGCAGCTCTGAATGAAGCTCTGCGAGAAGAAGTTCAGCGACTTAAGATAGCAGCAGGGCAAGCTCCAAACATGAACGGGAATCCCTTCAATGGTGGACTCCAACAGCAGATTCCGCCCTATTACACGCAACAGCAGCAGCAGCAGCAACAGATGCCTTATTTAGGCGGCCACCATGCTCAGCAACGCCATCCAAGCCATCAGCAGAGCTCATCAAATGGCGGCCAGTCGCTGAGTGGTCAGTCCCTAAACGACTCCATGGATTTCATGTGAGGAGAAGAAACTCGGGGGCCCCTATTAAACCATATACCAACTGCAGCTCAGCATTGTAAAGATAGCTAATGTACAATGTAATGCATATGAATCATTGAATAGGGTAGCTAGCCGTTCTTTGTACCAGTAAACAGAAGTAATTCTTGTATGACATAATCCTCCCTTTCCCCCTTTGTTCATTCCTGGATTAATGCCTAGACTGAGTTAACTATGTTAACCATTTAACACTTGTCTTGTAAAGTGGTCGTTTGTAACAGCCAATGTTTGCTGTGATTCAGTTAGGCTTACGGATGCAGTTGGTTAGCGAGGCATTAATGTGCCCCGAATCAAGTCATGATCAAGTAATCTGGGATGATTAGGAGGCGCACTGGCTGGGATCTTGATGATCTAGCCACGCCATCAAAAACTAACATGGGCTGATGGATATGGCTGTGCTGGACTTGCTACTGCTTTGTTTGTTTTTAGCTGGAAAAACCTGGGCACAAAGCAGAATCGCTGGCCACAGGCCACTATTGACAGGATTCAGATGAAGAGGCGGCTTCTGTGTTACAACCATACTTAGCTGGACAGGCAGGTGATTAGTCTCTCTCGTCCATTTGACAATACTGGAACAGAATGATGGAGGTGATGTGATATGACATTCTCCTGACCTTTCTTGCCTTGCTGTCCTTTTCATCTTGCTGACTAATCCTTCTTTCTTTCATCCCTTTTGACAGTGGACATACCCTGGACCTTGGCAGTTGGCACCACTGGACTTTTGTGCCACCTCTGTCTAAAAACCAATGGGTTCTAGATGAGGGCCATTGAGGGGTGTCCTGCTTGTTTAGGTCATGTACAGCATAAAGATAGTATCACATGTTCTTTGACTAATTCTACTCAACTTGCTTATATTTCCTCTGTTCTTTCTTTAGACAAATTTACACTTGAATCACCAAAACTATCAGAAAACTACACCTTTAGAAGTACGCCAGATATTTACTCTCTTTTTAACTTGTCACTTTAGAATCTATGCTGTTGAAATTTCTTAACTTTGGCTGTCAATACATAATATGGAAGTCATATCATTATAATGCTTTCATATAATTTGATTGGCATATATTAATGTAACACATAAAAGCAAAGGATTAACGTTTGATTTGGAGACTGTCGGAAGTCAGAAAGGTTAAAGTAAAAAATAGAAAAAAAACATGTGATGTTGAAATAAGGTTGTTATCAAACATATAAACATATTAGTAGCCTGTAACATTCTCACACCATGTAAACGGTTTGGGGCTTGCTGCACGTTGTACAAAACTTAATTTTAAGAGTTTTACTCAACTGCTCATCAGTTATTTTGCTGCCTACTTACTTTGGGTATAAATATTTCAAGGTTTTATATCAAAATGAGGAATGAGGGGAGTTTGGAACTTGTTGGTCGAGTTATTTTCATCGGACTTCAAGAATTCTGCGTGTTCTTCTGACTTACTGCAATTCTTGGGTGTTAAAAATATGTTTTTCAGTTCATATTAGTTGGCATATTATGTCATGGAGTTAGATATTGTCTTGTGGCTCAATACTTATATGTCAAAAGTACATTTGTTTGATACATATATATATATATATATTTATTGAAATCTGGTGGGTAACTGAAGATGGTAATCAGAGGGTGGAGCATGCTTTACTCCGGTATGTCTCTCCATTTTTTTATTATTATGTATGTCTCTCAATTGCCTAGCCGAATGGCAGCGGCACACAGATCCTAAACTGTAAATACGCCAATGTCCACCTATAAACTTCTTAGGTCTACATGACAAATGAATATGGCAAAAGATGGCAACTGTTGCTTTTTAGACGCTTGTGATCAATATTTAGTCCACATGAAGGATGAAGCAACCTTGTTAACACTTGATAGTAGGCTAGCGAAACAACAGGTAGAAACCCTGGTATTAGGTCAAATCTTTCACACTCATATGGCATCACTTTGCTACTGACTACTGGTGGTGAATACTGAATAGTGTAGGCAGGCAGAGATCAACGAATGAGGTGCTGTGTCCTGCATACAAGATTACAGAAGTCATCTTTAAACGTCAGTAGAACTGGTCTGGGATTCCTGCAAAATTGGTTATTGGGTGCTTTGTTTAACAGCATCCCTAACCTTATTTCTGATTGAACATGCAAACTATCAAATATTCTAGTTCTGAGTGGACACAACTATCTAAGTTATTAAGAAGAATATAATGTAAAATCAAAGGTGTTTTTGATTATTATTCTGTGATAAACAATTGGCATCGGAGATTATTGGTTTTGTTATTTAGAATTTATTTGCGAAGTGGTTTTGGAGATGATTGGATTTCACAGGTGATCTATAGGTACTGCTGTTTTAGGACTGGTCAGACCGGGCAGGTGTTGCCGGTCAGACCGGCGTGTATCCAGCCAACTCTGTGTCGGTTTCGGTTTCGGGTTGTTTGTTTGGATATCCGTGATTGTTTCATGCTTATGGCTTCTAGATGGATACTATGCGTATGTAATACTATCGTTTGCTACTAATGAGTCAAGTTGGGGATAGCTTGGTCTCGGAATATGGTTTCTTTGTTTGTTCTATGTGTAGGTGACTCGAGATGCCGGGAGAGTATTTGCGGTGATGGACCGAGAGTCAGCTTAAGGATAAGACGACGTCCGTGGTGGTCAGAGATCATGCGGGATACTAAGGCTAGAGTTCAATACACGTGGTTAGTGAAGATTCCATATGGCATACGATGGAGGTATTGTATGCGTATGAGATGCGGAGTCGAATTTGGAAGGAGTCCAAATTTGGTGTGATTGGTTATGTAAAGTTTGTTTCTTGTACTAGAGGGTTTCCTAGGGGGATTAGGACTTCTAGTATGAGTTTGGTTCGTGGCTTTAGGCTGCCTACCTTGGGTATAAATAGAGAGGGAGCGTGAGGCTTCCCGGTATCGCTTTTGAGAGCTTTGAGTTGATAGTTCTATTAGGGTTTCGAGTTTCCTCGAGATTTTTGTAAGGAGTGTTGTTGGTGCACTTTGTAAACACAGAGAGAATCAATAAAGTCGTCATCCACTTTAAGAGTTCTTCGATTTGTGTTTCACCGGGTTTCAGCGGTCTAACCGGCGGCACATCGGCGGTCAGACCGGTGGCACCACGGCGGTGTAAGGGCGGTCAGACCGGCGTCAGCGACAAGCGACAGGAGCTGATCTCGGCGGTCAGACCGGAGATACAATCTCGGTCAGACCGACGGCAACCAGGCGATCAGACCGGCGCAACACCTTCGGTCAGACTGCGATCCGTCGAATTTGAGGGTAACTTTTATTTCCGTAATTTTTTTTTGTTTTTTGGGTATACCAACCATTCACCCCCCTCTGGTTGGCTTAGTTGTTGTGATTCGATCCTACAAGTGGTATCAGAGCCTTTTTTCTTCTTTGGATTTTAACTGATCTAGAGTTTTTGCCATGGCTGTTAGGTTTTCAACTAAGCCTCATGTTTTCGATGGAACTGATTTTTCTCATTGGTGTAGTAGGATGCAATATTACATTATGGCTGAGGATTATGATATTTGGAGAAAAGTTTCTCATCCTTATGTGATTCATGAACAAATTAATACCGCTGCTTTAAAAACTGAGTTTGAACAAAATTGTAAAGCTCGCAATATTCTTTTGAGTGGGATTTCTTGTTCGGATTATGATCGTGTTGCTCATATTCAAACTTCCCATGAGATTTGGATTGCTTTGAGTAATTTTCATCAAGGAACAAATAACATAAAAGAGCTTCGTCGAGATCTTTTCAAAAAGGAGTACATTAAATTTGAGATGAAACCTGGAGAAGCTTTGGATGACTATCTTTCTAGGTTTAACAAAATTTTGAGTGATCTTAGATCTGTTGATTCTTCTTATGATGTTAATTATACACAATATGAGATTTCTCACCACTTTTTGAATGGTCTTGATATGTCTATTTGGAAGATGAAAGTTACATCTATTCAGGAGTCCGTTGATATGTCTACTTTGACTTTGGATTCGCTTTACACAAAATTGAAAACACATGAGATGAATATTCTTTCTCGTAAAGTTGATTCTAACTCGAGTGTTTTGGTTTCTTCCTCAACTTCTTTGGATGTTGATTCTTCTTCATCGAAGTCTTCCGCATTTGCTTTGTTTAATGCCATGTCCGATGATCAACTCGAACAGTTCGTGGAGGAGGACTTGGTTTTGTTATCTAACAGACTTTCTCGAGCTGTGACTAATGTTAGGTAAAGGAAAAGAGGTGGACCAAATCATTGCTTTGAATGTGGTTCTACGGATCACTTTCGTTCACGATGTCCTAAGCTTGGGAGAGCGAGGGGGGAAGATAATGGTGATGAGAAGACCAATGACAACAAGCCGAAGGGTACATTCAAAGGGAGGAAGATCAAGGAGAATCTCAAGAAGGCTTTTGATCAAGTCTACACCGCGTTTGAGCCACTAAGCGATGTAGATGGTGAGAGTGGAGATGAAGATAAGGGAAATAACATCTCCGGTGTTTGCTTCATGGCGCGTGGTGAATTAGATTCAGAGTGTGAAGACAATGAGGTAAGTGCTCTTGAGGAAGCCATTAATATTTTGAGTGCAAAAAATATGAAGTGTGAGAAGTTGTATAGAAAACAGGAGTTTATCATTGAATCTCTTAATTCTGAAATTGCTAGATTAAAATATCTTATTCCTAATGATGATGATTGCACAAATTGTGAGGTTTTAATGAATGAAATTTCTAAAATTAGAGATGTTAATGCTGCACATGATTTGAAAAATAGATCTTCTCTAGCTCTTAGTTTTGCTTTGCACACACGCACTTTGGATGAGTTGTGTTTAACTAAAAAGTTATTGCAAAAATATCAAATTGCTTTTCATGCTAGTTTGATGTTTAACATGATTTGTGCTAAAAAGTTAAAACAACCTCATGATGTTTTGGATTGCTCAACATGTACTTTGAATAAGTTGAAATTAAAAGATGCTTTAGGTCGTGTTGGGTACATGGAAGATGTTGTGAAAACCAATGAAGTGCTTTCTTGTCCCAAGTGTGGTAAAAGCAAAGGTGTCATGGTAGATTCTGAAAATTGTGCTAATTTGGAAAAAGAGGTTTCTTATTTGAAAAATTCTTTGCAAAGATTTTCTGATGGTAAAAAGAACCTCAACATGATTTTAGATCAATCTAAGGTTAGCACACATAACCGTGGTTTAGGTTTTAATCCTTGTGCTCATCATACTAGACATCATCCTGTTGTGTTAGGTGTTGGTGCTAGAAGTGGTG